TTTTCGTATTTATTCTAGGCAAACAACGTGTTGGAGGATGGATGGAATAGAGCTTCAACGATCATATCCAAAGGAGGTTGGCGGAATGTCGGTGAAGCCTTGCTATTCAAAGTTCAAGATCCAAGTTAAAGCTTCATCCGCAAGATTACCAAGATAGAGCTTCGTTGAAGATCAAGATTGCTTGGGTAATTTAGTTTAGGAATTTATATTATGTGTGTTAGTACTTTAAGCTCAATCATATACACACATACACGTTTTGGTTTTTGTATATATATAGTTATATATATACATATATGTTTTGGTTTGATAGTTTTCAAGTTTTACTATGAAACAAATGAATAGAATTGGAAAATACTATTTTGTTTCATGTTTATATGCCTATATATGATTTCACCTTTAACAAGCTTATATTTAATGAAATCATATTTAGTGTTTTGAATATATTGCATAGAATATGCAAATTTATGAAAATATTGTATTTCTAGATTATAGACTTCATAACAACATGTTATATCTTTTATCAAGTCTATACAATCATTTCATAAGGTTTCAAAATGTTGTTTAAGTCAAAATATCAAAATATCAATTTTCAGGTTTTCATGTTTTGGACTATTTTGTAAAATGATGATATTTTTCATTTGGGAAGTCCTTTTTCGAAACCAGTCATTGTAGCATGTTTATTATCATGTCTACAATCATTCCCCAAAGTTTTACATTTTTTGGAATTTATTTGATATTTTTAAACAGGGTTTTAAAATCAGCTCTAAAACCGATTTTTTCTGGAATGTCAGTTTTCGGTCGACCGGTACGGTCGACCGGTCAATTGACCATTCGTCAGTATTTTTCCAGAGAGTCGTCGGTCGACCGGTCCAGTCGATTTTTCTGGGGGCCTTTTGTCATTTGTTTTGGGGTTTTTGCTGAGATTTCTAGTGGGTATATATACCCCATTGCTGATGTCTTTTCAAATTGATTAAGAGAGTTTAAAAACAAGTTTAAGAAAGTTTTAATCAAGGGTTTATGTTTGGTTTGGGTTTTGGCTGATGTCTTGGGTTGTTATAAATACCCCATTGCATTTACCTCTCCCATCTAACAAGAACAATAAGAGAAAAGTTTTTAAGAAGTTTACAAGTTTTGTTCAAGGGTTTATGTTTGGTTTAAGTGTGTTTATAAGCTTTTAAGCATTTGAGTGTTTTGGTTTTGTGAATCACTTCCACAAGAGCTTGAGGAGATCATCTATTGGTGTTTGAGCATCCAACTCTTCTCCTTCCACTCTTGATCTATTGAGAAGTTTTCTAAACTCAATCTAGCTTCATATTTTATATTGTTTGATTATCTTTTTATTAAGCTAGTGTTCATATTGAGTTTAGTTGATTTTATTATCTCTTTGTTCACACACAACCTATTGAGCTTATTGTATTTACATTCATAATATAATTTTGGGTTGTGAGATTAGTGACTTAGAGTTGTGCTTAATTGAGTTCTCACCTTGTTTAGAGAACAAATCATTTGATTTATATTGTGCTTATTGTGAGGATTCACTTGTAATACACTTGTACACCGAGAGAAGTGTGTGGTGAGAGACGGGGTCAAATCCAAGAGGAGTGGCGTCGGTTGACGTGCCTAGGGAGAGGTTGTAATCGAGCACTTGAGGAGGAGGACACGGGCTAGGACCAACACTTAGTGTGTGAGGTGTGATTACATAGTGATTGTATTGTGAGGTGTAAACGTTGTTCGGGTGAACGTAGAAAACCCGGTTGTGATAGTGGAGATCTCATCGAGGTGAGGAGCGGGGACGTAGGTCGTGGGGACCGAACCTCGTAAACATATCGTTTTGTTTGTGATTGCATTGGCGTTCTTATTCTTGTTTTCATATCTTATCCTTACATATATCATATTGTATATCTTCTTGGTAGGATATATTATCTTGTGTTAGTTTATATATCCTTGCATATATATTTCATCATATAGGATATATCTTATTGTTTACATTGCTTATCCTAGCTTACAAATATTATTGTATTTCATACTTGCTAGGATAACTTATTAATTAGTTTTAATTGGCATTTAATCGGATTAGATTAGCATAAGACCCTAATTACCCCCCCTCTAGGGTCTAACATGGTTTCATCTGCAATTGATTTTATCAAAGATAGAACTACTATTTTAAGAGTATGATTCTTTGATTCTTTGCCTTCTCAAAAATTCTTGCTCTATACTATCTTCGCAATTTTTAAGAATCTTGCAGTTTACTTTGATTCGATGAATTTCATAAACATGTAATCAGAAAATCTCACGCTCGTAATAGGTATAAGTAGCTTACCGCTAGAAAGAAATTTAAAACCATTAAAGCTCAAAATATCCAATGATAAAGAGAGATACTTATAGTATCTCTATTGTTTATTGCATGACTATCAATTGTTTTGAGAAGATAGAAATAAGTAGGATTAAAGAAAAAAAATGCAATTTCATTATTCAATCCTTTTGAATTTTTAAATTCTATCCATATTTTTGATACATGGTTTAAATTAAAGAAATCTTAATAAAATGAATCAATAATAAAATAATAAATTTAAAAAATTACCACATGCATTGCACGTGCAATCAAACTAGTTATCATAATATTCTAACAAACCACGATGTACATGGAAGGCCGTGAGGTTATGCACCCCCTCAAAAAAATTGCAAAAATGTTATAATTTATCTACAACTTATTTTGTGTCCCTATATTGGGAACAATTACAAAAAGCTGTTGTTGAAACTTAGTAGCATTTTATAAATTGTTTTATGAAAATAAAACGATCAACAAATTGATATGATGATCATGATAAAAAATATTATGTGCTGAGATCCTCATGATTGTACTATAGATAAGTTTTCATACTAATAAAATTTATATTATTTAAACTATAATCTTATATATGTATACTTCTGTAAGTGCCATGATGAGAAAAAATTTCTGGAACCGTCTTTGATTCCAATTAAAAAATCTTTCAAAGTTGAAGGAAGATTGAAAGATAAGGCAACTGTGTATAATTTGAAGGGTAAAATAAAAAGTAGCAATAGCTTAAATAAATGGTATAATTACAAAACAACCCCCTATCAATTTTATTTGATATTTCACGATATCGCCGCTAGCAAAATCTTCTTCGCCAATTTACCCTCAAAAGGATGCTGAGGACGTCTTCGCTCTCGTATCCTGTAACCTTCTTCTCAAATCTAAGGCTCCCAGTTCTTTCTTCCTTCAGATCTCCATTCCCTTCTTTTCCCCCAAAATTAGTGTCCACGCCTATCTCAGCCCCACAAACTCCCCCTTTCTGCCAGCGGACCCCATCATCTATGGTGGGCAGCAACCCAAGGCCGCAGGGAAAAGGTTTGGTCATTTCACCACAAACCCATGACTAATTTTGCTTGATTTTGTAAATTTTGAAATGGGTTTTTGTTTGTTTATTTGTAGTTATGTTTAGTTCTGGGAGGAGTGATGGAGGGAATAAGGAGATTTTGGTGCAGCATTTGCTTGTTGGGCAGGATGATGTAAAGATGCTGACAGAGTTGCAGAAGAGGATTTCAGAAGGTTTTGATTTTTGATGGTTTTCTTCCTTTATGATTTTATTTTCTTGAATTCAGCCTAGTTAAATTTAGGTGTTGAAAGTGTTTTGTAGATAAATAAAGTAGCTTTAGGGTTTTGTTATAAGGTTAAAGAAATTAGGGTTAAACTTTAACATGGTAATTATTATCCTAGAAAAATTAGCGGGGGAACATTCCTAGGGTGAACAATTTTTCAAAATAAACTCATTTAAATTTTTTATTAAAAAAACAGACCCACTCCCATTTTATTTCCAGAAACCGACCCATTTCGTGGTAACGTCAGCAGCGTGGCCACGAAATGGGTCGGGTTTTTTTAATCTCACCTCTAAATAGCCAGGGTTGCTAATCCCGATTATTTTGCACGTCCTGATTAATATACAGGCTAAATTGGTCGGGGTTGGTAACCCCGACTAATTTAGCACGCTGTCTAATTGGTCGGTGTTGGAAACCCCGACCAAGTCGAAAGCATGCTATCTAAATGGTCGGGGTTCCCAATCCCGGCCATTAGCAGAGACTTCTGATCCAGTCGCCGAGTAGAGCTAAAAACGGCTAAGGGACAATAGTTAGGGTTGTGAACCCCGACTATTTATTACCTGGGTCCGCCCCCTATATAAAGGCGACGACTTCATCTCCCAAGCCCCTTATTCGTTTCTAGCCGCCGCTCTCCTCTCATTTTCGTCGTTGTCCTCCTCCCAAACTCTGTTTGAGCCATCGATCTCAGATTTTAACCTCAATTTTCGTTTGAATTTCATAGTGAAAGATCTACCAGGTAATTTCTCTATATTCTCTCCTATTTTAACATGTAGAAAATCTAGGGGTTTTTTTCTCAAAAACGAATTTCTAGGATTTGAACTCTATTTGTAGTGGTTTATTTAGAAAAATTATTCTTGTTGTAGTTGAAATTAAACATTTGGGGCATAGAATACTCAATTTTAGGGTTTTGAATTTGGGGGTCAATTTTAGTGTTTAGGATTTAGTGGTTTACGGTTGTAATTGGGGTTTAAGGTTGTAATTTGGGTTTAGGGTTGTAATTGATAATATTTTTTAAATATTTTGTATTTAAATGATATAATTTTGTTTTCATAGGTTGAACAATATGATTTTTATTGCTTGCTCTTATGATGGAACGATTAATTATGGAATGAATAATATGCCAATATATGTCGGAGGGGTAGCAATCCCGTTAATGATATCAGAATCATATAGTTACATTAACTTGATTAATGAATTGCATCGAGTTACGACAATTGACCCACGAGAGTATCGACTAAAAATAATATGCAATTGGGCGATAACTTATGATAGAACATCCGCAGTTAAGATCTCAAACGATCATTCACTGAGTATTTTGTTTAAGTCATAACCAACGATAGAATTGTTTATTGAAACGGTGCCACATGGTACGGGCCAAATATTCAACCATCCAGGAGAATTCTCACGCATGTTAGATTTGAGAGTTGAGTCTGAAGGCTTTCTTTTTTCTTCGAGTGGAATGGAGCGGACTCAACTTCAATATCACAGTGGTGCACCTTCATATGAAGAGGATGAAAGAAGCGACGCCTCTGATGGTGAAGATGAAGATAGTGCACCAATTGACACCATGTAATTTGTAGGTAAAGATGAGGAAGAGAATCCGGATTGGCCAGATGAAGCTTATGTTAATAATGAATATGTTGAGTACAAAGAACTAGCCCCCGACGAGTTTGAGGATGATGAGTCAGTTTGTTCTTCCACAGTACATGATATGCGCATTGGCGAAAGTTCATCTAATAGAGGAGATGATGAGGAGGTCCCTTTCAGAGTTGGTGAATTATTCAAGACTAAAGACCAATTAGTTAATGCTATTCGTGATTACTCAAACAAAAAGTTAGTCAAATTTAAACAAATTAAAAGTAATCGCACAAGTTATGAGGCAATTTGTTTTATGAATACACAAAAGCAAGGTCGGGCAGAGGGGAATGAATCTAATTACACATGTCCTTGGAAGTTATATGCATTTGCCGGAAAGAAACATAATGAGTATTTTAGGATCACAAAATACTACAGTGTTCACACATGTAACAATCTAATGTTCGAGAGAGATCACAGTGGTGCATCTGCCTCTTACATAGCTCGGTTGATTATGCCAAAATTAAAGAAAAAGCTTGAACTAAAGCCCGATGATATAATTGATAGTGTTCACAGCCGGTTCGAATCGACGAGGATGTCATGCACTCCCAACTTCACACACAACCGGACGAGGATCTCATCCGAGCTCACATCGAGATGAACGGGGAAGGGGGAGAGGAAGAAGAGGGAGAGGGAGAGGAAGAGGGAGAGGAAAAGGAGTTGTAAATATTTGTTAAGTTTCGATATACTTGATAGGATTTTTTGCGTTTGAAACTGAATATTATAAGTTTCGATATACTTGATAGGATTTTTTGCGTTTGAAACTGAATATTATGTATCCGATTGAGTATTGATTATTAGTATGTGAATTGCATGGTATGTATGCGTTTGAAACTGAATATTATGTATCCGATTGAGTATTGATTATTAGTATGTGAATTGCATGGTATGTATTCGATTGAATATGAATTTTTAGTAAGTGAAATGAATGTTTGCGATTATGGATTGGTATGTGTTATATTTGTGATTGTGATTGTATTGTAGATTGATAAATGTGTACCATTAGTTGGTGGATTGATATGTACTAACAGAAGTTTGATTTTCCATCTGAAAGTGGGGAGGAAGAGCTCTGTAAAATGGTCGGGGTTAGGAACCCCAACCATTTTGTGCACCTACAAGAAATGGTCGGGTTCCCAAACTCGACCATTTTGCCTTAGCCAACTTTTGCTTCAAAAGTCTATGCTAAATGGTCGGGTTTGGGAACGCCGACCATTTCGATAGCGGGCTTTCGAATTGGTCGGGTTCCTAACCCCGACTAATTTAGCATGTATATTAAGCAGGACGTGTAAAATAGTCGGGGTTGCCAACCCCGACTATTTAGAGACGAGATTAAAAAAACCGACTCACTTTATGGTCACGTTGCTGACGTGACCATGAAATGGGTCGGTTTCTGGAAATAAAATGGGAGTGTCTGTTTTTTTAATAAAAAGTTTAAATGAGTTTATTTTTGAAAAATTGTTCTTCCTTCGGTTGGTATTGAAAGTATAAAACTTAACATCAAACGGATCTCTTCTACTCTCAACCCACAATATTCAAAAAAAATTACAAAAACACTCTCAAAATTCATAACATACAAATAACACTAAAATTTCAACTTTTCTAAATAGGCCTCTAAAATTTTGGGATTTGTAGATAACACTCCAAAACTTTCAAAAATTGCAAAAAACCTTAAAATTAAAAAAAAGCCTAAAATTTTCGAACCAAATACAGTATGAAGAAATTTTGAGAACTGCAAACAGTTTCGTAAAAATTTTAAAAATTTGCAGAAAACACCCTAAAACTTTCAAAATCCTAAAAAACACCCTCAAAGTTCAAAACTTACAGAGAAACCTGAAATTTTCAAACCTAATATAGTGAATTGAAAATTAGGTTTACGAACAGCCCCTTGACAATTTTGGAAATTAGAAAAAACCTAAAACTTTCAAAAATTACAAAAGACACCTTCTAAATCTGAAATTTACAAAAAAACACCGTCAGAATTTCAAACCTACAGCCAGTATGTTGTAACCAATGAATTACAAGCATCCCCCTAAAACATTGAGTTTACATAAATCACCCTAAAAGTTTCAAATATTGCTAAAAACACTCTCAAAATTTTAAATTGCAAAAAAAACCACTATGTAATTTTTTATCTTTTCAAGTTGTGTCCTGTAAATTTCAAAAAAATTTAAAGGTGTTTTTTATAATTTTTGAAAGTTTTATGTTGCTTTTTCGCAAAATCTAAAACTTTCAAAGGGCTGTTTGTAATCCTGGATTTTCAATTTACTATTTGTTGGTTAAAAATTTTCAAGGAGTTTCTAGAAAATTTTGTATGTTAGGATCTTGTTGCAACTTTTGAAAGTTTTAGGGTGTTTTTTGCAAATAAAAAATTTATAGGGGCCATTTGAAAATCTTAGATTTTTAATTTTTGATTGATGATGGTGTTTTTTCTAAGTTTTAAAGTTTTAAGGTTTTTTATGTAAATTCTAAAATTTTTAGGGTCATTTTGTAATTCAAAGATTTTCAATGCACTACTTGTAGGTTTGAAATATTCATAGAGTTTTTTGTAAAGTTTGAATTTTTGAGGGTGTTTATTGTAGCTTTGAAAGTTTAGGGTGCTTTCTACAAATTCTAAAATTTTAGGGTGTTATTTGTAATTCATAGATTTTCAATGTTTAGTTTTAGGTTTGAAACTTTCAAGCTTTTTTTTAAGTTTTAAAATCTTTAGGGTGTTTTTGCCAAATTTTAAAAGTTTTAAGGTGTTTTGTACAAATTTAAAACTTTTTAGGTGGCTGTTTGTAATTCTTAGATTTTTAGTTTATTTTTTTAGTTTGGAAAAAATATTTTTCTTGTAAATTTATAATTTTTATGGTGTTTTTTGCAAGTTTTAAAAGTTTTAGTGTGTTCTCGTCAAATTTCAAAACTTTTGGGGCTATTTCAGTTTGTAATTTTCAGTTTGTAATTTTTAAGGGAAACTAGGTGAGAGAATGGAAGGGAAGGGAAGGGAAGTGAGTTCTCTTCCCCTTGGTTACACCCTATTTTGGGGGGTAACAAATTTTATACTATTAGGGGGTGAACCAAGGGGAACTAGGGTGAATAACTTCACCTCCTAAATGTTCCCAAACAAGGTGAATGGTTCCCCTAACTTTCCTTCACCCTTATTCCCCTCAATCCAAACAAGTCCTAAGTTTCATTGTAATGTTTTAGATTTGAAATTTTCAGTTTGATTTTTTAATTTGATTTTTGAGGGTGTTTTTTGTAATTTTTAAATTTTCAAGGTGTTTTCTATGATCTCAAAAATTTAGGGGGCTTCTTGTAAGGTTTGAAATTTTTCAATGTTGTTTGTATGTTTTGAATTTTTAGGGTGTTTTTACAATTTTTGAAAATTTTGAGGGTTTTTTTGTAGTTTTGGAATTGTTGGGATTTGTTTGTAATATTCTATTTTATGGGGGGATATTTATAATTTTTTTACTTTGTGGGTTTTTTGGTAAGTTTTGAAATTTTTTTTGGGGTTATTTATAATTGCACATGGTTAAATGAACGAAGCCTAAACTTTCTTTTTATCATACCCATTTAGTTGGTTAAAGTTTATCCTCATATGTTGTTAAACTTTATATGAGGATAAACTTTTAACCTTGGTAAAATTTTAACATGATAACAAACATGGTTATAAGTTAAGAGAAAGTTTACTAGGATACACTTTAACCCCCTTTACCCTTGTACCAAACAAGCCCTTAATTTCAGCAAACTGTAACCTTATGCAATTAACTTTGGATAGGGTAGAGTCTTCTAAACCGCGGATAGGACTAGGTTAATATGTTAATTTAACAGGCAGCTTAAAGAGGATCCATTTTGTGAATAATCGAACTAGTGACTCGACAAAAAAAATATCTAAATTATACAAAATTTTACAGACATGCCCATGAAAATGTTTGCATTCAGAACCTTTTTTTTCCTTTCCTCAGCCAACTTTCTTCATTCATTTACCTTTTTAAAGTGTTCTTCCATTGATCTAAGTGTGTTTCTTAATTAGTATAGTAGGGTTGTTGCTATTTTAATGTATATAGGGTACCTTTTAAAGTTTACCAATGACTTTATTTCATTATTTTAGGAGTTGATTTAAGTGACTTGGCTGTGGAATACTCTATATGTCCATCAAAAGAGAATGGTGGGATGCTTGGGTGGGTTCGGAAAGGGCAAATGGTATGCACATGTTAGCTATCATTGACTTCCATATCCCTTAGCATAAAACTGGATTAATATATCATATGTGTTTCTATTAATAATGTCCCTAGCTGTATGACTATATCTCTAGGCATAAAACTGGATTACTATATCATGTGTGTTTCAATTAGTAATGTCTTTAACTGTGTGATTCTCTTTTCATGATTATCTACTGTCCGTATAGATCTGGATCTAGGGTGCATCTTGGTCCTGTTCTTCCTTTATAAAGATATTTGTGCTCATGCTTTCTCTTGTGTTAATTATGAAGATATGTTCTTATGACCCTCAATTTGGTCAATAAAAGCAATAGTAATGTCAATTTCAATGCATATGGGAACTTGCAACTCCTAGTTCACTTTTTTTGTCAAAATTTATGTCTATGGATTGCTATAGGTAATATTGCAATGGTCTGCTATAGAGATGATAACAAAGGACAGGACATGGTAAACAGTGAGGTAATATGGAGAACCAGCAAAAAGCGTTTGTCCGGAAACTATTATGTTTTCAGATAATTAAAATATGTCCAACATTGTGACTAGGTCAGGCATTCTGCAGTTCTTTCTATATATCTGAAATTGTGAACCTATCATTCATGAACTAGATCATAATTTCAGAGTCCTTTTTATATTGAATGTCTTTGATAGTTTGGGATACATTGTAAATTCCCATATGTCATAGGTGTACCATTAAAATACCTATAATATATCTGCGTATACAAATATTGGTATATATCAGATGTGGATACATTCCTTTGTCGAAGTTGTATGAAACAGGATATGGTAGTAATGCGAATACGTCCTGAGCTATGAAGCATGGACACTTCTGTATACATATAGTACACTACTTAATTTGGATATTTGTGAGAAACATGTCGTAGACATTTGAGCTTTGTTGGAAAATTGTGTCTCATAACTTGTTGGCTTCTAAAAAGTTCTTAAAAACACGCGTTCGTGACATGAACATGTGAGGTGCTTCATAGACTTGCATTAGGGAGATACTGGATGGATCTTTTACAATTTTGTTTTCTTTTACTTTAGTTACTCTAATTATAATGTATGAATAATAAATCAGGTTTACGCAATGCCTCTAGGATATAATCATTCCTGCATCAAAATTTTTGGAGTTTCCCTACCAAGTTCCTCTTGATATTCATATGATGCTTCACAACCTTTGCCTCTTTGTTTTCTAAATGATCTACTGTACATGGGAAAACTTGCACTGGTCTAAAAATCAAGGTAGTGATGCACTCGTCTAAAATGATGCCCTCGTCTAATAATCAAGGTAATGATGCACTGGTCTAAAAATCTAAGAAGTCTAAATCCTTATCTTGGCGAAACCTAATCAGGTGCCAGAATTTGAGGAAGCTGCATTTAGCGCTCCTTTAAACAAAGTTGTGCGTTGTAAGACAAAATTTGGATGGCACCTCTTGCAAGTGCTTTCTGAAAGGTAAAGCTTTAAGATATTCTTTTTCAACAAAAAGACAATAATAAATGCCTAAAACTTTTTTTTTGTTTTGTTTCATGATGCTAGGGAGGAGTCTAAACTTGAAGATATTGCACCAGAAGAACTGCATTCGAAAATGCAAGATCCTATCTTCATTGAGGAAGCTCAGTTGATAGATGTCCGGGAACCTGAGGAAGTGTATGTACTACTACTATCACTTCTTGTCTTCATACATACATGCACAAGAAAAACTATTTATTATGAAATAACAGCTTGGTAGCCATATTGTTGACTTAGTTCCATATAAAGCTTCCCTCAGTCCGTCTTCCCTATGTTTGTTTTATTTTTTACAATATGGAAGCTCAATAATTGCTGCACTCATCTTAGCATTCTATATCTGATTTCAGCTAGTATCTTCTGTTCTTATTAATAACTTATTAAGGCATCAACGTCAATTGATTATACGAAGATCACCTGAACCTAGATAGTTTTGGAATAAAGATACAGTGTTAGAGAACGTTTTAGTTTCTCATAATGCACTCTTTCTCTTCCCATTGTGAAAACCAGCCGAGCTGAGAAAAACTGTTATCATGTTTTCTCATTTTTTTCATTTTTTGAAAATTAAAATTCTTTCTCTCTCCTTTTGGCTTAGCAATATTGTAAAAAACTCATGTGATACGGACCAATTAGGGGAATATCATATGTTTAGTAGCATCACAAAAAACCCTATGAAAGTCCTTTGTCAGCCTCTACCATTTTTAACTTATCTTCGTAATGTTTGTTACCTTTTTCTCTTCTTCGTAGAGACTGTGTACCACGTATATAACTTTATTGTTGAATAGATGTAATGCTGCCAAAAAAATCATTCTGCAGGGAGAAAACCAACTTTAGCAGTATCTACTATGGTTGAGTATTATATTATGATCTTCACAAAAATATTATTGACAATGTTAGATTGTTTGCGAATGGCTTTGTAGGTATCTTTCTTCAGTTAATTGTCAGTTGAAAGCCAAGATTATCTTTCTGATGAAGCTAAATCACCATTTCAACAGGACTTGGTCACTCTTATATGTTCATTTCTACATTGCATTGTTTTGCCTCTACTTTTGTCTTGCATTTCTTTTTTCGCTATTTACCCTCCATCTTTATTTTAGTAAATGTTGACAAAATTTGCTCTTTGTGTGCATCGTAGAGCTCAAGCTTCATTGCCAGGATTTAAGGTTCTTCCTCTCCGTCAATTTGGAACATGGGGATCAGTGATATCAGATGAGTTTGATCCTGAAAAGGATACCTATGTACTGGTAATGGACCATTATCATTCACAAATTCCATTCTTGTCCCTTTCCCTTTGTTGTTCATTCCTCTTTAGCTGTTATCTTCTTAGCAGTCAATTAACAAAGTGTTAAAAATAAAAGAAAATTCAACATGATAAGTTTGGTAGCATACTTTACTGAATGATCCTTTAACGCATATTTACGCTGTTTATTACCAATGTCTCAGTGCCACCATGGTGTAAGATCACTACAGGTAGCAAAATGGTTGCAATCTCAGGTATTTTTTCATCCAAAGCTATTTAACGATACCATTTGAAGGATAAATTGCTGATAACTCCTCTTATTTACTCCATTGGCATGCTTCAACTCAACTTTGGCAATTTGACAAATTGAGTGTTGGTAGGTGCTAATAAACTAGTCAAGTAGTGATAAACGTTATTGAAGGTATATATGAGGGAGTTATCTGTCCAAATGCAACAGTAAATTGCAGATACCCTCATCTCTATCTTTAATAGTACTTATCATTCTTCAACTTAATTTATCAGCACTTATCAAACTTGTCACCCTTATGTTTGGCATTTTGAGAAGGGTGAATTTCATATAAACCAACCCCCCCCCCCCCCCATGCTCTGATACCAATTGAAGGATCGCTACAATTGCACTCAAACACTAGAAGGGGGGTTGAATAGTGTTTATGAAATCTAATGCGGAAACTTTAAATTTCAATAAAATAATATCACAAAGAGTAAGAAAGATCAAACCAATGTGTAGACAATCACAGAAAATTGCATACGCAAACACAAGGATTTATACTGGTTCGGTCCTCCAGACCTACATCCAGTCCCCAAGCCTCGCTTGAGATTTCTCCACTATTTCCACTTGCAAAACCGCAAGCACTTGTAACCCGCAAGCAAACAGTACAACCTTGACAATCTTCAATTGCCAATGCCACAACAATTTCTTCTTTCAAGAGATTATCAAACTGAAACAAAATGGTACAACTCTTTCTCTTCCTATAAGCCTTGATGTGTAGATGTGAGTGACTTACAATAGGCTATAGGAATGGTTTTTGTTCTAGAGTAATGGAGTTTTAATCAAGAACAAAACTGAAAATAACACTCAGTTTTTCTCTTCAAAAATGGAGTTAAGAACTCAAGAAAAACTCAAGTTTATGGAAAGGAATCTTGTTGTTTTTCTTCAGAACTTAACACCTATTTATAGGCACAAGTTTAGTTCAAAATATTTCAAAAATAACTGCCAAAACGTTCATAAAACGTAGCACTGTCTGGTCGACCATATTGAGGCCTGGTCGACCAGACAGAGAAATTTTGGAATTTTCTGTCCAAGTCTGTAGCCTCTGGTCGACCAGGTCCATATCTGGTCGACCAGACAGAGATTTTTCAGACTCTCTGTTTCTGGTTGTTATATCTGGTCGACCAGACATTTCTTTGGTCGGCCAGAAACTATGTTATACATATTTTCAATAGTTTAAAATGTTATTCATATGTTGATTAAAATTAGGATTATACTTAGAATATTTTCTATGATCTTCTAAGTGAGTAGTGTGTGTTGTGTGTGTGATCAAGGCTTGTACAAAGATTCTAAAAGAAAAGACAAAATTACATCACTCTTGTAAAGTATATTTTCTTCTTGAAGCGCGAAGTGACTTGATTAACTTCATCTTTTTGATCTTTGAAATCTTGTCTTTGATATAGCCTTAATATCTTGATTGTTGCTTTGAGATGTATATCTTGAATCTGCAGTAAAATATGTTAGATAAACAATGATTTGTTATCATCAAAATACAAGAGATATTGTAACATCAACCATGTTCCCAACAATCTCCCCCTTTTTGATGATGACAAATAATATTGAAAAACTTTAATTAAACATACTTACTCCCCCTGCAACAATGCATACATGTTAATTTAACACACAAAAAGATAGCACTTATTAGTAATCCTAATATTGTATAACAATGCATACATGTCAATATTTCAATATTGCAATAGTTGTCAATATTTCAATATTCTAATATATCTCCCCCTTTGTCATTAACAAAAAGAAGAATAGAAAGGGAGATAATAATAAATAATGAAACAATTAATACATTTCTTCAATACAACCTAATATTTCTTCAACATGGCCTAAAACTTCAAATAAATCTTCAAGATTATGCACATAGTCCATTACATCTCCCATCCAAATAGGAAGACATAAGCTTGCAATGAAAATTAAGTTTTCTATGGGAGTCATATTGAATGTATTATGTTGTTTAAGAAGAAATATTTCTCTATTTATAACCATGGAAGTAGTTATTAGAGACTAACCATCAAGTAGTTATTTAAGAATTGGTTAGAAGAACTAAAATATGAGTTCAAAAATTTATGAAACATTTCTCTTATGTTAACCAAGATAAATAACAAGAATATTTGCTAAAAATAAAATTCATTAAGCAAAAGCAAACATACTTGTTCATTAATAACTAGCAAAAGCAAACATATCAAACATATTATTAATAAGAGTTTTAGAGTTCATACCGACCGTTCCAATTCCTACCACTTGACCCTTGTTGTTGTCACCGAAGGTAACAGTTCCTCCATCTTTAAATTGTATGGAAGAAAATAAGTCCTTGTTCCCGGTCATGTGCTTGGAACAGCCACTATCTAAAATCCATGTTTCCCTTTTATTAGGTACCTGCAAAATAAAAGAAATATGTTTTGGTACCCTTTAACTTTTGGGTCCATGAGATTAGCATTTAGGAAACCAAACCCAATAAGAATTTGGTTTACCTACATTGTATGAAAGATAGTTTTTAGAATCACAAATATCCTTTTTGTAATTTGATAAGTATATCTTTCTATCACTTAAACATGCATTTTTAGGAACCCAAATGTAGTTGGATTTTAAAATATTCTTACATGCAACTTTCTTCATATGCATTTTTCTATCATTATGTGAAAATACCTTAGAACTAGCATGCATAGATGTATCACTATGTGCATGATAATTACTTTTCACAAATTTAGAATATAAATAAGCATAATTTTTCTTTTGCATAGAAGAGTATGTTTTCTCATTACTGGAGTTAGAAACATATCCTAATCCTTGTTTACTCTTAGCAGGTAATTGATAAGAAAGTAGATTATCTAGATTCTCTTTTCCTTTGTTAAATTTACCTACATTCATTAATATAGTTTCATATTTGGTTTTAAGACTTTTAACATTATCATCCAAATTTGAAATACGAACTTTAAAGAAATCACATTCTTTTTTAAGAAGTTGATTGTGACTAGATAACTTGTAATTTTCAGAAAATAACTCTTTATTCTTCTCTTTAAGATCTTCTATTTGTGAAGCATAAGGAGAGACTAAAGTGTTATTCAAATTTTCATTTTCATTTTTTAATATTTTAAAAGAAGAATTTAGTTGCTTGTATTTCAAAAATAATTCGTTAAATGCGTCAAGTAACTCATCATGATTACTTACTTGATCATCATCAGATTCATTTGCCATAAAGCACATATTCGCTTGATGATCTTCTTTTTCCTCTTCTTCATCTGAAGATGACTGGTCACTATCATCCCATGTTATCGACAAAGCCTTCTTCTTTTTGTTCTTCACTTGTTCATTCTTGTTCTTTGTGAACCCGTTGAAATTGTTAGAAGACTTCGACTTTAACTTTTGTTGTAGGGGACAATCTTTCTTGTAGTGTCCTGGCTTATTACAACCAAAACAAGTGACTTTGTTAGTATCTTTGAATTTACTAGAAGAGAACTTACCTTTCTTCAAGAATTTTCTGAATTTGCGTGTGATTATTTCAAACTCTTCTTCGTCATCGGAATCCTCATCATCAGTAGATGCTTGGAAAGCAAGAACCTTCTTGTTCTTATCTTCATTATCCTTTTTCCGATCTTCAAGTTGCACCTCGTATGCCATCAAATTCCCTATCAAATTTTCTACTGTCAATGTGGAGAGGTCGTTGGCTTCCTCTATTGCGGTAGTCTTCTTTTCCCAATCCGAAGTAAGAGCCCGGAGGATTTTCCTAACCATCTCCACTTGTGTATAGTCCTTTCCTAACGCAATTAGGGAGTTGATGATGTCGGTGAACCTTGTGAACATTTCACCAATTGTCTCGTTGTCTTTCATCTTGAACATTTCAAACCTGTGCACTAAAACAGAAATTTTTGAGTCTTTAACCTTAGAAGTTCCTTCGTGGGTTACCTCAAGTGTGTGCCAGATTTGATGTGCAGTGTTGGAAGTAGACACGCGGTTGAATTCATTCTTATCCATTGCGCAAAACAATGCATTCATTGCCTTGGCGTCAAGATTCGCATTTGTCCTTTCCACCAATGTCCATTCAGAATATGGAGTAGTAGGCTTGTTGTAATCAGACTCCACTATGTTCCAGAGATCGAATCCTATCGATTGAAGGTAGATCTTCATCCTACACTTCCAGTAGTTGTAGTTGGAACCATCGAAAAGTGGTGGTCTTTGAGTAGAATGTCCTTCCTTGAACTGTGATGTAGATGGTGTAGCCATTGTTATCCTTGATCAACCCTCTCTGATACCAATTGAAGGATCGCTGCAATGGCATTCAAACACTAGAAGGGGGGGTTGAATAGTGTTTATGAAATCTAATGCGGAAACTTTAAATTTCAATAAAATAATATCACAAAGAGTAAGAAAGATCAAACCAATGTGTAGACAATCACAGAAAATTGCATACGCAAACACAAGGATTTATACTGGTTCGGTCCTCCAGACCTACATCCAGTCCCCAAGCCTCGCTTGAGATTTCTCCACTATTTCCACTTGCAAAACCGCAAGCACTTGCAACCCGCAAGCAAACAGTACAACCTTGACAATCTTCAATTGCCAATGCCACAACAATCTCTTCTTTCAAGAGATTATCAAACTGAAACAAAATGGTACAACTCTTTCTCTTCCTATAAGCCTTGATGTGTAGATGTGAGTGACTTACAATAGGCTATAGGAATGGTTTTTGTTCTAGAGTAATGGAGTTTTAATCAAGAACAAAACTGAAAATAACACTCAGTTTTTCTCTTCAAAAATGGAGTTAAGAACTCAAGAAAAACTCAAGTTTATGGAAAGGAATCTTATAATTTAATTTCAGAACTTAACACCTATTTATAGGCACAAGTTTAGTTCAAAATATTTCAAAAATAACTGCCAAAACGTTCATAAAACGTTCATGTTATTTTGAAAAAATGTCAGTTAGAAAGTCTGTATAGTCGACCAGATTGAGGCCTGGTCGACCAGACAGGCCGAGTCTGGAGCCTCTGGTCGACCAGGTCCATATCTGGTCGACCAGACAGAGATTTTTCTGAATCTCTGTTTCTGGTTCAGTTATATCTGATCGACCAGATATTTCTTTGGTCGGCCAGAAACTATGTTATACATAGTTTCAATAATTTAATAAGTTATTCATTTGTTGATTATACTTAGGATTATACTTAGAATATTTTCTATGATCTTCTAAGTGAGTAGTGTGTGTTGTGTGTGTGATCAAGGCTTGTACAAAGATTCTAAAAGAAAAGACAAAATTACATCACTCTTGTAAAGTATATTTTCTTCTTGAAGCGCGAAGTGACTTGATTAACTTTATCTTTTTGATCTTTGAAATCTTGTCTTTGATATAGCCTTAATATCTTGATTGTTGCTTTGAGATGTATATCTTGAATCTGCAGTAAAATATGTTAGATAAACAATGATTTGTTATCATCAAAATACAAGAGATATTGTAACATCAACCATGTTCCCAACACTACTAGATCAGGATCAGGTTATCTGCAATTTACCCTAAATTCAAATACATGTATTCTTTCATTCTAGAATATGCCATATTAATAACCGACTATGAGTGGTCACAAAATATTTTGGGGTTTCACTTTTCTTTTACGACATTTTGGCTATTGAGTTTGTTCTGATGTGTGCAGGGATTCAAGAAGGTGTTCAATGTGGCTGGAGGAATTCATGCGTATTCTGTCAATGTTGACCCTTCAGTTCCAACATACTAAGAAGGGGCAAATTCACAATAACCCTTATTCTTGTGTGCAAATAAAAGTCCCCCCTCTCCTTTTTTTTTTTGCCAGTAATGCCTGTGGCCTAAAGGGTTATTTCTGTTTGAGTTGGTAGTAAGAGGAGTTTCTTAGTTTTGAAGGAAAATTTGTTAGAAAATGTTGAGAAGTTTCAATATTTAACGATATGTTATATAATCATTGCTTGTGATATTTGTCTCATTAATGGATTCATTCTATTAATTTGAGGTTCAGGATTTGGATGATCTTTCTTTCTTCTTCAAGAATTGTGTTGCAGTGGAGAGACACCAGGGCTGAGAGTGAGAGAACACTCTTATCTGCATGAAATATGAGCACTGTGGTGAATTTCTTTAGCCTATTTTACCTCCAGACTTCAACTTTTTACTACTTTGATTCATTTCCCCTGATTTGTTTTACCCCTTCTTTTATCTTGAAGAGGAAATGAAAGAATTTTTACTAGTCATAGAGGTTGCATGTTTACCTTGTTTCCTATGCAAGTACTGGATATTTGGCTTACAACGTTGGTTATATGCATCAAATGTGATCTGTAAAAATCATGTTGATTTCAGTTGGGTTTTTTATATCAGTAAAATATTCTCAACAATGTGCAACCAAATGGGAACTTGTGAACTCTGTCCTTCATTCAAGCCCTCTTCAATATTCATTGCACTTGAGCAAGATGTTGAGCAACAGTTTTTCAAGACCCCTTACTTGCAACAAAGTATTTGGAGATGCACTCGACAAACTAAAACAAGTCCTCTAGGTTAAATAATCCTCAATTGTCCAAAATCACAATAAGCAACTACAGCTGAAGTACTCTATATTATCTACTTTGATGACAATTAACAATTGACACGTTTTAAAATATAATAACTAGAGCAACCATTCTATGATAGAATATTATTATTATAAACTGAATGAAAACAACATAAGAATATTAAATAAATAGTTAGATATTTTAAGAATACCAATGAATCTCTCAGTGTTATATTCACCAATGCTTTGCATATAAACAATGAGAATGAAATACAATTTTCTGTTAGTCTCTTTGAGCAACAACATAGATCAAAAGCTTAGCCCTCTCAAACCATGCAAAATCAAGCGCCAGGAACATAGCAGCAGCTAAAATAGCGAATTAGCTTTTTCCTTTTCTGCAAGAGAGAGAGAGAGATGATAAATCAGAGAACTAAAGTAGAACAATTTTGTTCTCTTGTATATTACAAAGCTGTGGTTATTTATAATTTCTAAATACATACTTCTTTTTCCAGTAACTGTTAATCTTTGATTTGAATCTGGACGACACAAGTTACATTTCACATGAACTATTGAACTAGTTAAATAATATATGTGGTTCTAATATGATTGCATAATGTCATGGTTTCTTAATTTTCTCTATTTAATAATGCACTTCTTATTGTCAGCCGCTCTTTGTTGACAAAGGACAGTTAGGCATCGAAAGTTGCCTTTTTTGAGAAAAATGGAAAAGGTGGTGGGTCCCACCGGGTCTCACTAATAAAATATTATTAGTGGCGGGTCTTACCAATAATATTTTATTAGTGCATAGTATTTTTCCAAACACTATAAATAGGGCCCTAAACTCTTAAGAAAATCTCATCCCAGAAACGACTCCTCTCATAGAAGAGTAAGAGAGAAAACACAGAGAGAGATTGTGAGAGTTCTTAGAGTGTATCTGATCAAGAGATGGTGTTCTCTTTGATCTATTCTTTTGGGATATAAAAGAATTTGGCATCGTCGTTGCACCGTGAAATAGCTCCGAAGGAGTGAACTACGTATATCTGTGAGTACTGTGATTGATTTTTGTACCTTTATTTTGTGTATTACGTCTCCGTTCGAGATGTTATTATTGGTGTGTACCCTAACAACTGGTATCAGAGTCTGACTTAGAGTATATATATCTGCTTATCGTATGCTCTGTGGCTGTCACTAAAAGTGGAACCTTCACATCAGAAAATAAGTTAGATTATTATTTACTCTTTTAAGGCAATGGGCACTATTCACGTGTATGGTACTATTCACGAATACGATACTACAAATACAGTTCGAGAAAGATGTAATCTTTCGTCATGGGATCTACAGTTGAAGACAACAGGCTTAGAATTGAAAAATTCGGCGGCCAAAATTTTAGGTATTGGAGGATGCAAATAGAATAATATTTGTACCAGAAGGATATCTTCCTACCCCTCCAAGGAGAGGCGGGAAAACCTGAGAAAATGAACGACGATAAGTGGAAGGTGCTCAATCGTAAAACACTTGCCACCATCAGGCCCAACCTTCATCAACATGTGACTTACAACGTCTCGCATGTGACCACCACCAAGGAGTTGATGGAGGCCTTGGAGGCGTTGTATAAGAAGCCGTATGCTTCAAATAAGGTATACTTGATGAAGAAGCTGTTCAATCTAAAGATGCATCAATGAGCTCGTGTGGCGGACTTCTTAAACGAATTTCAGGCTATGGTGCAACAGCTTACTGCAGTAGATCTCAAGTTCGACAATGAGATCTAAGCTCTTCTGCTACTTTTTTATCTACCAGATTCATGGGAGAATATGGTGATGACGGTGAGCAACGCTAATGACAATGACAAGATGAAGCTCGACACAGTGGTTGGGGCAATTCTGGATGAAGAATCTCACCGCAAAGTCTCAGGAGCTGAGGCCTCTAGCAGTGGGAGTGCTCTGCATATCGAGGCAAGAAGGCGTGCGCAGAAGAAGGGTAATGGACAATGAGGTCAATCAAAATCCAGAGGGAAATCTAAAGGGCCAAACCCGAATGGTTATGGTGAAGAGAAGTGCTTCAGATGCAGAAAGAATGGTCACTTTGCACGGGACTGCAGAATTTCTGTTCCAGCATCAGCAGGGGATGATCAGGTTGATGGTGTAGCCAATCTCATGCACAAGACGGATTCGGATGCGCTTCTCCTATCCCTCGAAGACAAAAGTGATGCGAGGGTCATCGACTCTGGCGCATCTTTCCATGCAACCTCATAACAAAAACTGCTTTTATCGTTCATGAAGAAGGACTTGGGGACAATCTATCTTAACGACGATCAACCTTGCAAGGTTTCCGGGAAGGGAAATTGTACCCTCAAGATGGAGGGTGGGACCACCTTGACGCTGAATAACGTTCGGCATGTACTGGATCTCAGGCGAAATCTTATATCAGTCGGACAACTGACTGACTCCGGTTACAGAGTATTCTTCGAGCAAATAAGCTGGAAGGTGTCCAAGGGTGCTCTGGTGATGGCACACGGCAAACGCGAGGGGTCTTTCTACATCGTCAATGGGAAGATCAACCACTTGCTTGCCGTAGGACAAACATCATCATCATCATCCGTCGACTGCATGACTTGCCATCAACGACTCGGCCACATGAGCGAGAAGGGGATGCAGATTATGGCCACGGGAGAGAGGCTTCCAGGTTTGAACAAGATCGATCTGACTTTCTGTGAGGACTGCATCCTAGACAAACAAAAGAAGATGAGCTTCAACAAGACCGGACCGGCTCTAAAACTACAGAAATTAGAGTTGGTGCACACCGACGTGTGGGGACTTGCGCAAGTCCCATCTGTTGGAAATTATCTTTACTTTGTCACTTTTATTAATGATGATACTAGAAAATTATGGGTGTTCTTCTTGAAGCACAAGTCAGATGTTTTCATCATCTTCAAGAAGTGGCTTGCCTGTGTGGAGAATGAAATAGGCAATAAGCTGAAGTGCTTAAAGTCTGATAATGGAGGTGAGTATTGCAGCCAAGAGTTCGAGAACTTCTGCTCATCCTATGGGATTAGGACACTAAAGACCGTCCCAGGCACACCTCAACACAACAGGAGTGGCGGAGCATATGAATCGCACTATCTTGGAGCGCGCCAGAAGTATGAGGATCCATTTCGGATTGCCCAAGAGCTTGTGGGCCGAAATTATCAATACTACTGTATACTTGATCAATCGTGGGCCATCCGTGGCTCTCAGTTATGGGATACCTGAAGAGTCTAGGAACGGAAAAAAGCTGAAGCTAGAACACTTACGAGTATTTGGTTGTGACGCCTATGTCATGACTAATCCTGCAAACCGGTCAAAGCTTGATCCAAAGTCAAAGAAGCTCTCTTTCATCGGCTATAGAGGAGATGAGTATGGGTACCATTTCTGGGATCACGATGCGCGCAAGGTGGTGCGCAGTCGTGACGTCGTGTTCCATGAGAATGCGGTGTACAAGACCAAAGAGGTGAGTGGGAGTCAGCTATCTCCTCCTCTTTTCCCAGATATTACTAATAGTGAGGATGGCAGTGAGATACCAATCAGCATAGAAGACGGAGACCAAGAGAACGTGTGTGATGCATAGCAGTAGGATCCAACAGAGTTGCCGATCGTAATTTGCAAAGCTCCAAGAAATCCAAGGGTGCCAGAGAGGTACCTTTCTACCATGAATTATCTTTTCCTGACTGACAGTGGTGAGCCAGAGAGCTATGAGGAGGTATAGCAGACCGGCAAAGCTCGGGGCGAATGGGAGTTTGCCATGGAGGAAGAAATAAAGTCTTTGATGAAAAATAGGATTTGGGAGCTTGTAAAGCTTCCGAGAGGGCGAAAGGCTCTTCACAATCAGTGGATTTATCGGGTCAAGGATGAAGCTGATGGACGGGGACGTTACAAGGCGAGGCTTGTAGTAAGGGGCTATAAGTAGAAAGTAGGGATAGACTATTCTGATGTTTTTGCTCCCGTCGTCAAGTTAACCATGATCCGGACTATACTGAGTATTGTGGCAGTTCGAGATCTCCATCTAGAGTAGATTAATGTGAAGACAATATTCTTTCATAGAGATTTGGAGGAAGAGATCTATATGCATCAACCTGTGGGCTTAAAGGAACGAGGCAGGGAGGGTCTCGTGTGTCGCCTGTGTAAGAGCTTGTATGGCCTGATAAGAGCTTGTATGGCCTGAAGCAAGCTCCACGACAGTGGTACATGAAGTTTGAGAACTTTATGGAGGAGAACGGTTTTCTCAAATGTGACACAGACCATTGCTGCTTCATCAAGAGATATGGCGAATCTTATGTGATACTCTTGATTTATGTTGATGACATGTTGATTGCAGTGACTGACTTGGCCCGCATTAAAGAACTCAAGGGGCGTCTCTCCGAGTGCTTCGAGATGAAGGATTTGGGTTCAGCAAACCAGATTCTGGGGATGATGATCATCAGAGACAGATCA